AATAGACCATGAAATGACTTAAGGTCTTTTTTGTTCTTCGATTCTCTGATGTCGTTATTGAGTTAAAGCTAGAGAGGCGTCCATTCGCATAATTACATCTCTTGTTATTGCAAGCAGCTCATTTGGCTTGAGGTTGCCTACCAACTCATCACCAACCCTACGGTGTCCCAAAACTGTCATCCTCCTGCTTGGCAGTGCTGAACATTGGCATAATATATGCACCGCTGTCTCCTTTTCTTTTAGGCAAAGTCTGCGTCCTCCTCAAAAAGAGTTATCTTTTTGAGGTGATAATTGAAGCTTCCATGTCCAGTAATCAATGAGGTCAGCTAACTTAGGGTGCTCCGCGGATAGCTAAGTACTTTTATCGCTTCATTGGTCAACGGTTTCGGCCTTATGAGCTTAGTCTGTCTACAAATGCTCATCTCTCTCCATCTGTTACGATGAAGTGAAGTTAACCACTTATCGACATAAGCTGCAATCATGTTGTAGTCCAAAGGTATTATGGGGTCTGGGCAGCAGAAGTTACTACGAGCATTAATTTTTAGTATATTTCTATACGTATTTTTGCAAATTCGCTTTCGGCTTCATTAAGAAAACTCTTATATTAGTATTAAAAACAAAATTACAAAAAATTATGTTATTCTATTTTCAATTGTATTTTATTTTTTATATTAATACATTTTTTATAATTTAGTATATATTACCTTTATAACTAGTAATAGGATAATGCAATTCCTTATTTAGTTTATAAATATAAGGTATGATCATGCAGTGATTTCTCTTTAAAAATGTAGAGAAAGACTTATTGCAACTATAATCTAACGAAATAATATATATTCCACCTACTCAAAGCCAATGTTTAGTTATGAAACTATTACATATAGTTAGTTATTTTAGTTAGTAAAGTTATTTTGAATATACCCAAGAATACCTGAAATTAGTTGATCCAGTTTGAGTCTATATCTGTTCTGTGTAACTATTTATATCGGCCCAACATGGATGCTACTTTGTGATGCTTTATAAATCGATAAGAAATGACATATCTTAACCAAAGCTGGTAATATGAATATGAATAAAAAAATACTATCTGAATCAATGCTCATTCTTATAGATACTTTTGGAACAATAGGAAAGGAAAGATTTTTGGAAAATAATAGTTTATTGTTAAAAAGTTATTGATTTGATTTTTTTTTTTTGAACCTATATAGATGCAAGTTAGTTGGTTTTAACAAAGCAGATTTCGACATGACTCAATAATCCTCTTCAGATGACTGTCTCTGCTCTGTATGCGCCTTCTTCAGTTACACACTCAGGTGCGATTATAGTGCTCTTCTGACTTAATCATTTCAATGGAGATACAGTGAGTATACATCTTACAACATGACTAAGCGAGTGGAGTAGCTGGATGTCAAGATATCTCAATGTCATGAGTAGTTTATTTAGCCCATTAATTCAACTTCATGAGCTTATGTACATTAGTTGTTCCTAGAAATGTATAAGGATATATGTTTTTTGGAAATTTGAATGGAAAGTTTCAGTTTAATCAACGAATATGTAAATCTATAAAGAGATGAGGGTCGTTAATGGTGTTAGGCTTTGGTTTAAACTTCAACAAGGTTTGATATTATATAAAAATTTTTTCATATGAAATTTAGTCAATTTTTCGTGCGAAATCGATGTTAAAGATTTTGGTGTGATTTTTTAGAGTGTTTTCAAAATTAGTTAAAATTTGACGTTTTAGTAAAGTTATAAAGTTTTAATTTGGTTTGCATATAGTAATAACTTATGCATCTACTACTGCATATTGGCACTAAAAAATAATTATCTGAAACTAATAGGTTTTAGCAGTTTAATGATCGCACAATTGCTGAACTATAAATTTAATTTTAAATCGCAGTTACTATGGAAATCTTCTATAAACACACGTTCGGTATGTTTTGTTTGTATTTTGTAGAAGTTTTTGTTATGCTTGATGATTTTTATGTACGGATAATTTAACAAATTTTTGCTAATAACTAAGAATGCCTTAGGATTTATATAATATAATTAAAAGACTAAGACTCGTTTTCGAATTAGCCTGCACAAAAAGCGTTCACTAAAAAGCGTTAATGTGAAACAACAACAACTTAATTTTGCAATAAAACATTTGTGAGCATTGAATATACTGAATACACTGGAAGAAAAAGTGCGGATGAATAGTGCAACTCGTTTTGAAATCTCAATCGCTGCAACTGAACTGACGAGTACAGCGCGTCTTGTGTGCAAATACTCGTAGATGGCGAAACGAATTCGCAATCGCAAACATCCATTATGTTTAAATAAAATATCTATTAAATAATCTATTTTTTTTTGCGTTATGGTACGCGTACGAACACTTTACTCGTCTCGTACGTTAACTAATAACTAGTAATTACTCGTAGGTGAAGTAAAAAACCAACATTAGGCAGTTGTTGATAGCTTAGAAAATTCTTTGTCTGTGTAATTTTATTGTTTTAAAGTGAACAATACTCGAGGCTAAAGCAAAAGTTAATGTTTGTTTTGTGCTTTATTTGATCAAGAATTATTATTTTTCTGCTAACACAAAATGGAAGTTTATTTTCAGCAGCTCGATTTTGCAAAAGTAAAAGCGTTTATTTTATACTTATCGCATATTCAAGGCAAATATCAATATTGTTAGATAATAATAACTTTAGTAAATATGTACCCATTTAAATACGAGTATGTGCTAGTGTTGGTAGTACTCATAATAACATAATAATATAAAAGAATCATTTACGTATTTAAAATTGTGCGAGGCATTCATACCAATGCCAGTGCCAGTGCTTTAAGGAATGGCTTGAATTTGATAACTTTTTTCCAACTAACTAATTGCCAAATTAAACAATTTCACTGAACTTAAACTCACATTATTGCAAGTCTTATGTAAATAACTATTTAATAATTTTTTTTTGATTATAAAATGATGTAACTGATAATAATTACAGTATCCGGCACGGAATGTTATATATAATATATGAATAAATAATATATGAAAGTGTTGGAAATATTTGCGAATTTATCTCAACCCAAAGTAGAGCAATCAATTATTTAATCAAATTTCACATTTCACATTCAACAACATTCCATCATCCCATTAAAATTGCTCATTATAATTGCTCTAAAAATGGATAGAACTGTTCATTGTATGCATTCTTTGTGTTGATGAATATTCAAAATATATATTCTATGGAACTCGTTCTAAACATGCAAATTAGTAGAATATTATTACGGCTTATTTGACTGTCAAATCAAATATTAATTTATTACTTGTACATAATAAATGACAACTAGAGTCATCCGGTGCTTTAACTTGCTTATCATTCGAACAACATTCCTCGTTCACATTACAAGTAATTAAATATTTTACATAAGTGAATTACTTTTGAATAATGTAAATAGTTGTCATAAATATAGTAAATTAGTAAACTAGATTTTTTATTACATTAATAAAAATTTTTATTTGTTTATTAAACAAAAAAAAACTGAATTAGAACTAGATTTAAGAATATTTTAACCACTACCTAAGTCTTGTTTAACTTTAAATAATTAATGGTTTTATAAATACTAAAATTACTTATCAGCCACTGAATTTTATCTCAGCATTAGCCTTCGTGCCAGGCACAAGTACTATATGACGACCCTGTTGCTCTTGTTGTTAACATCAATTGTAAACAGATGAATCTGTATTATCAGAGATTCTACATCTCGTTTTAGAATAAATTGCCTTACATGTGAACAACTATATCGTTTGTATTTCCTAAATAATTTTTATATATTCATTTATTACAACAAGTATTAAATTAGTTTATTAAACTAAGTAAAAATTTTGAAGGCGAAAGAGTTTATTATAAAACTAATGTGTTAATTAAAACAAAGTTTATATAAATATACAATATATGCATATATATGTATACAATATGTATGTATATATATATTCAAATGATACATATATTATAAAAATACTTGATATTTTTTGGTGTGCGTGTAAACTATATAAAACCTCTCCTGAAAGTACGCTATTTGAAGTCGCATTAAGCCTATAAATATGCAACACTTTTTTGAAGTTGAGTTAATATGCTTCAGTTCGGTTTAATTTTTAATAATAATATACATTTTTATAGTAATTGAATTCATTCTAATTAAACCAGAGCTGTCCAGATCAGATTCGATTGCGGGTC